CTGGGGGGAGTTCTCTACCAGCATGGGTTCTTAACTAATATGAAACCAAAGCATATAAACTGTTTATTCCAGGTCAGAAATAAAGGCAGTAATGTTCTCCCGTGAAAATGTCAAGATAAACAGGAATCCATCTCTCTTACATGAACCTCAATAAAGTTTATACAGTACTGTGATAGGAGAGCACTGGACTGCCTCCAGAGAGAGAGATGTAAATACTCACCAGGTAAAGGTTATTTTTGTCCTGAAAGGCATACTGTAAATGGGGGATCCATGGACTTGCGCTCTGAGATAAAATGTTCCGTTCTTCCTCAAAAAATGAAACCTAGAGGGGGGAAAAAACCTTTAAGACAATTATAATACAAAGAAGTAAATGTGAGGGAGGGGGAAATGTCCTTTTCTCTCTCTTTAAGCCTAAACTAATGTCTCTAGTTTAAAAAAAAAAAATGACTTAGCCCAGCATCCCACAAATCTCATCCATTCACCTACTTTGCTCATAATTTTTGCCAGATCCATATATTATCTGTCCAATTATTTACTTAGCATCTTTCTTTAACGTCAACTCACTTTCTTTAAATCTAAGTATCTTTCTCTTTCTCTTCACCTTCCCTTCCTGATCTGTTCAGTCCTAGTCATTAATTGGAGTGGAATAAGATCAGCATCCACGACAGGTGGTAGGGAGAGAGTCACGGTGGCCCAGAGCAGGGTGCCAGGCCCAAGCAGGGTGAGGAGGGCTGCAGAGATGTGTGGGGACAGCCCAATATATGGTATCAACGATCCACCCTGCAGGGTGAAAAAGGCATCCACGCGTAGGGATGATCTGAGCCCACCAAAGGCAGGGGCAGCACCAAAGACAGTAGACTAGATGCACACAGATGTATAAAATAAGTGAAAATACTAAAGGTAATGTAGGCACACATTTGAACCTGCAGCGTGGTATAGTGGATTACTTTGTTTTTACATGTACAATTTCCCATCTAAAACGTAAGCATCTTGAGGTTGGGGCTACATCTAATGCCTCTTCCCCAGGACCTAGAAACACTCCATACACAAGAGGTTTAGGAAGTGTTTACAGATGATAGATGGTGCGTAAGTGTTAGGAGGTTGAGTGAGCATCTTCCACACCTCTCTGCCAAATGATCTGCCGCATCCTGTCATTTCCCCTTTCTGTGCAGTTGCTCACACTGCCTTCCTAAACACAGGGTGCATCACTCTTGGACTCTAACAAGCAGCTCCCTGCCCTCTGCTGCTTCTTTGATTGGAGGCCACACAAAGTCGCTGAAGTCCTCAGACTCTGATTCCAATCTCTTCCTTCCAAAAGCCTAAATGATCCCCAACCATCTCACAAATTAAACTACCAATCCAAAAACTGGTTTTGGGGTAAATGGTGAATTATCATTTCTGTTTGGGATGATGAAAAAGTTCTAGAAATGGGTTGTGGTTACACAACACTGAGAATGCACTAATACCAATGAATTGTATCTTTAAAATGGTTAATAAATTTTATGTATATTTTGCCACAATAAAAAAGAAAAGGTCCTTGAGACTTCCTACCAATTACCCCCATCCCACCCAAATGTCCTCATTTCTTCCCATTCCCCAGTCTATTTTTTCTGAACCGCTAAAAAATATATATATGCATATTGCATTCTACTGCTCAAACCTCCAGCACATCACACACGCCACAACTGGCACATTCTCGTCACTTCTCTCTGCCCAGAACCTATAGCAGTGTGAACTTCCCCTAACTGTTCCTGGCTCACCCACATCTCGCCTCACTCCATCATTCGAGGATTCGCTAACTGCTCTCCCTCCTGCAATGCTTTAGCTGTTTTAGCTGGTAAGTGCCTGCTTTATATATTTGCATTTTTTCCCTGCTTTCCAAGGTTGTTTTAATTTAAACCCTGAAACTAACAGCCATGGAGCTTCACTTTCTTGTGCAGGCTTCTGACGAGCCAGGTACATTATCAGACACATGATATGCACTCGAATGTCTGTAACTAATAAATTACTCTCTGAATGCCATGGCTGATGGCCATCTCTCTAGAAACACAGCAAAGGAATCAATATGTCTGGAGCATCAGGCTTGTTTAAAAGGAAGAAAAATATCACAACCTTAAAGATAACTTCTTACCTGCTCTCAAGCAAGCAACTCCTTAGCCCCATGAGAATTTTATTTAATTTCTTCAAAGGCCTGTTTTTAAAATCAAATATACATGCCCACAACACAAATATATAAAATGTGCACAAAAGCAAATGCTGACTCACCACATAATATGCATATCTCTAAATCCCCAGCTGACAGTCAGGCAAGATCTTAAACTCATTAATTAAAAGGCCAAGTTGGTTCTGAATAAAACACGACTATAAAAACACGATAAAGAAATCAAGGGGAGCTTGTGAGCCTTCAAAATGAGTCAAGACCAGTTCAAGAAAAAGAGCTAAGGACATGAGAGACCTTTCTGCCTATGCAACTGTAATTAACTTGAGTCACAGAGGAAGATGTGCTTGATCCCAGATGTCAATTCAGCAGATTATCATCTCTGCAATGAACATTCTGGTAGAGAGAGGGGAAAGGGTGTGACTCTAAAATGCTCCTACCTGCTCCTGGGCCAACAAGGCTTTCTTCTTCATCACTTTCATGGCATAGATGTCCCCGGTGGCTCTCTCCCTTACCACCTGCACTTCAGCAAAGTGTCCACGACCCACCAGACTTCTGACTTCAAAGTCCTTCGCGGAAGGCTGGAGCTCCTGCAACTCGGAGATGGTGTCAGAATCTGTAAAACACAAAAGAATTACTCCCAGGTAAACAAAGAGCTTCGAATACCTGCATCTTTATGAAAGCCAAAAAAGACAGATAAAAGTGTTCCTATGTCCTCCCTCACTGTCAAAAGACATTTAGTCACTTTCTCATCATCATGAATTATAAAATCAGCACAAAAGTGTTTTTATATGTTAAAATTAAGGGCTCCAGAAATTCCAAAGTGCAGTTTCCATGGCAGCTATAATTTGCTTCCTGCAGACTTAGAAAACAGAGGAAAGAGAATACAGATCAAGCTTCTCTTCCTCTCCCGGAAGGCTGCAGGGCAGTGTTTGGTCAAAGATGCTTGTCCGCATTTAGACTAGTTTACAACGGATGTAAGCAACATGACCCCCATCTCAATCAATCCTGGAGGTGGTTTCCAGACCATTCCATTCTGACCACATGTGCTCTGCTCAGTTTTCTCTCAGAAGCCCATTTTATCTCCCGTGGATTGTGTAATAGTAATGCCTTCCTTACCTTAATATGTGGCAGTGCTACCAGGAAAAAAAAACAACACACAAAAAACCCCACCTTAGCCCAAGGAACCAAATGGGGCCCTAACATTTGCTCTGAGGAGCTGACATGTCACAGATCTGGAAGAGTTTGCAGCTGTCTTTTTCTTAACACACAGTCTAACTCCTTTTCCTAGTGCAATCTCTCCATCGCTGTCTTGATTTGCCTGGGCTGCTACAACAAATGCCATAGACAAGGTGGCTTAAACAATAGGCACTTATTTCTCATCATGCTAAAGGCTGGGAAATCCAAGATCAAGGTGCTGGCAGACTGAGTTCTTGGGGGAGGCCCACTTCCTAGCTTACAGACGGCCACCTCCTCACTGTGTCCTCACATGACAAAGAGAAAGGGAGCTCTGGTCTCTCTTCTTCTTCTTAGGACAACACTAATCCCATTTTGGAAGCCCCATCCTCATGATCTCATCTCAGTCTAAGTACCTCCCAAAGGCCTCACCTCCAAATACCATCCCATTGAGGGTCAGAGCCTGAACATAGTAACTTCAGCGAGACATGAACATTCAGTCAGGGTTCTTCAGTGTATGAACACAGACTGAATAAATGGATGGTGGATGTGGAATCTACGTTCATTTTTTAACACTCTAAGAACACTAGGCTAGAGTATCACTGAAAATGCAGCAACTCTAATGACCTGCAAGAATGAAGGGGCGCAGCTGTGACTGACCGAAAAATTAATTCAGTTCTGCACATTACAGGGAAACTGCACTGTATGCAGGAGTTACACGCCAAAGGAAGACAAGAAAAACATATAATCAAAATTACCGTGGAGAATCCCTCAGAAACGTGCCAACTTGAAGACCAAGGGGCTGTCTTGCAATCCCAGAGGGATGCTGGAGTCCTCTGGGCATTGGAATGGATCACCATTTCCATAGGTTGGCGATCAGATAAAGGTGGGAGCTACATTTCTAGAGTTACGTTCAGCTAAGCAGATTGTTCAGACAATGACAGGGACTGAGTCCAACAAAGGGAAAAGCCATTTCATATCCCAAGTCACAGAGTGGCATATCGATGAATTAGCCAATGCAATTGTAATTGCTGTTACCCACCGCCTTTCTTTGTTGCATGTGTGGAATTTAATTCCCTTGGGTCAAAGGCACATATGATGAACTCTGTGTCTTGCACTGTCTTCCCACCCACAGACACCTCTCATGTTAGTCAGTCATCTTGAAAACACCTTCCTTTGGTCCCTTGAGGAATCAGGCAAGAGTGGTGGGTAGATCCCCATGAATTCACGTGACTACTGTAAAAAAAAAATCTAGACTACTTACACAGAGAATTCCATGCAGAAGCAAAATTGAAAGCTGAATGGTATTTTCCTTTTAACCTGACATCACAGTGCCAAGCCCCATCTTTCTTCCCTGTCCCTTTCCAAGTTCCTTTCAGATCAAGCATTTGAGTTTTGAATTATAATTCCCTAAACACGCCGGCTTGCAATTCTCTGGGTTGAACCTGATTTCATTATTGCTCCCACACAAGGCCAATCTCTTTTGATTCTCTGTTAGGCCTTGGGCCCACAATTTGCTTACAGCATTTGTCCAACTTATTAACTCTGGGTCTGTCACTGCCAACCACCAGTCATCTCAATAATACAAGGAGGCAAAATACTTATAAGCAAAACCACCATGATACTCTCAGAATTCTGAGAAACCATTCCAAATCTCAGTACCTTTTTTCAAATGCTTTGGATTATTAAGGTGAACAGTGAGACCCTAAACTCTAGTCTACGACTATTTTTTAAAAAATCTTCACAACTTCTCTTCAGATTAGCAGCTTCTGTAACTCCAAGACCACATTATCCTTAATCCCTGCACACGGTTATAGAGTCCAGTGGGTGCTGATTACTGAGGTGGAGATAAAGACCAGAGGCACTGTAATGAAATGCAGTCAAAAAATGCAGTCAGATAAACATTTGCACCCAGAAGGCAAAAGTCAACACAGTCGAATACACGGCTTCATTTCTGAGACTCAGTAATCCAACATTTCAACCTCAAGGAACTCATGCTTTACAGAAACACTGGCACATGTGCTCAGAAAAGATACATATGAAAATGTGATGAGCATGCTTGTAACAGAAAAATAACTAGAAACAACCTAAAGGTCCATCAATGGGAAAGTCCATCCACGTAAAAGAATATTAAGCCCATGTTTAAAAGAATGTACTAGAATATGTACTAGAATATGTACTTCCTTTTGTCTGTTTTGATCACTACTGTAAACCTAATACCTAACATGTAACTTGGCACATAGCAAGTGGTCCATAAATATCTGTTGAGTAAACATATTGCTAAGTGAGCAAAGCTGGTATCTATGCCCTCACCCATTAGAGGCCAGTGGCACTCCCCTGAGTTCTGACAACCAAAAATGTCTACAGACATTTCCTAGTGTCCCTGAGAGGGAAATCACCACTGATCAAAAAAGACTTGTGTAAGGTAAAAGAATATGAAACTGGGGCCCCAGAAGTCAACTTCTCCACCATGTGGGAGTCGAGCAAAGTCAAGAATGGGTTGTGGGCAGGGCTTTTCTGCATTAAAAATAAAATGAATTAAATAAACAGTTATATGTATTTTATGACTACAGTGGCATAATGATGAATATAATCCAGAACCATTATATATTATTTCTATATTCATATTTTCCTTATGATTTTAAAATAAATTGCAATTAAATTAAACTAATTAAAATAAATTAATTAAAGTTAAGTATTGTGGGACCTATGCACTGTGGCCACTGTACCTAATGGAGAAGTCCACAGAGTGAGTGGAGGAATGAGCCAGACACTATTTAAGTCCCTGGAACTAGTCATGTCTAAAGTTTGACCCACCTCTGTATTTCTCACTTTTTGCCCTAAGCTACTTTTAGCTGAGTTTCTGTCACTTGCAACTAAGAGGCTTAACTTACCTGGTCTCCCAAATACAACAGGTGGAACCTGACCTTGAAACTGGGCCTAAGAGCAGAATTCTTTCCCACTGTCAGCAGCCATTTACTCATTCTGCCTCTGGCGTCCTTCCAGTTTTCTCTAGCGGGACAGTTTTCAAGAAACAGTTCTCCCAACTTACACTTCTGGACAAAGTTGCTCACATGCTTAATCTTCATCAGAGCAGGCTGACTGCATTCTTCAAACAGAGCAAAGAGGGCATCTAATATTCCTTCTCGGGAAAGAGGAGACATCTGCTGTTGAGTCATAAAGGGTGGCTTCCCCTAAAAACAGTAAACGGCAGATGGAGACACTGTCAATAACGAAAAGCTTTGATCAATAACATCCATCCACACAGAGTAAATTACAAGCTACCAACTCAACTAACTGCCCACGACAGAGGCTAACAGCACAATTTTGTGGCTTCATTCTTTAAAGAGACATCAATTAATGGTCATTATCACTTGTACGATTCCATTACTGTGGGTTTCTTTCACCAGCACCTGGGAAGAAAAACTTCACACATACCCCATTAATTAGAAATGGCCCTTCTTTCTTAATGGTTTGAGGCTCACAGGAACATTTATTCTGGACCCTGCTGGTCCTGATGTGTCTCCATGTCTCTACAATAGGAAACAATGATTTCTGCTTCTTTCACGTGTCCAGAGGTTTATTAATATAACTTCAGTTTTAGTTCACTCAAACAATCTAGAGTGGAATGAATGAAGTGACTATACTAAAGTTGAATTTATTCCTGATCCAGAGCAACAGTTGCAAACTGGCAGACTGCATCTAGCCCGCAGACTGTATCTAGCCCACAGACATGTTTTGTTTGGCCTGTGGAATGTAAAATAATTTGAATTATCTGCCAATATTGAAAAATCAGATTTCACACCAAAAAAAAAAAAAAAAAA